ACACACACACACACACACACACACACACACACACACACACACACACACACACACACACACACCTACAGAAAATGTCACCTTTTTCACACTAGGGGAAATTCAGGATTTATTAAAATTATGCTTTATAAAATTGAGAACTTAAAACTTGTATACTATTAAAATATGGATTATTAGCGACAAATTTATGCTATACTAATTGGTATAACATAAACAAAAAGTAGTTTAATAAAAATTTTGAATGTAGGCCACTAAAACCTCATGACATGTTCAGAAAATGATGCCTGGCAAGAAAGGGTTAAAGAGGTCGTGGCCATTTTGATTTAATAAAGTCAATTTAAAAACACCTAACAAATCATGACCAAAATTTCCTTAACCTTCATTATAGGCTCAGCTGATATGACTGTTCATGTGACCCTAAATTGACCTTCAGCTTCCCTACTATGAAGATACAAAACATTAGAAATTAAAAAACATTTTCAAGCTTTTACTAAGTGTCACAAGTTTTATAGACAAAAAATAAATTAAGTATTTTAATTAAACTTCTTCATCAAATAAGACATACCATTAAAATGTGTTTTTAGTAAGTATATATTATCATTCATTCATAACGGGTGTTGGAATATGTGGCCTGAATTGGATGTAAAAAAAGCCTAAAAAACATTGACAATATGTTATACACACCATAACTTCTAGATACACTTTAGTAGATACAATTTCTTTTTCCAAGAACCACATTCATACCTTTTCATTAGCCTGACAAAATGAGCACTTGTTAAAGTTTATGATGTGAGCTAAGCAGTAGTATTTTTTGTACTTATTTATATGGAATTTCCTTGATGCCTTGAAGGATCAACCAGGTTTGTTGTTTCTAACATTGCATTGGAGTATTTCCAATTAAATCCTTGAAATATTCAGAATAGATTCTTCCATTTAGGGATATCACAAGCATATTTACATGCACAGATAGCTGACAGAGCAGGAGATATAAAAAAAAAAGCGGGCGAGCAGAGATGCAATTTTTGTGGTGCATGTAGGGCTAATGATGTTGGGAAAGGTAGGTCAGAGGAGCTTATTAGTTAGTAAGTACAAGGGATTGATAAAGGCATTTAAAGAAAAAGGCCATAACTTAATTTTGTCAGGGATACTGCCGAGAATTAACTGTGGGAATGCAGTTATAAGTAGGTCACTAGGGCTAAATGCTATGATTAAGTTAGTATGCAAGGATGAGCAGATTGGCATCAGTTCAGTGGAAGAAGGGAGCTTTTTGGAATGGATGGTTTACACTTAAATAGTGCAGGGGCTGGCTTGTTTTCTAAGGCTGTTAACTCAGCTGTAAGGAAAGTTTAAACTAGGACTAGACAATGGTAAGAGCCAGTGAAAACTAAATGCAAAAAGAATAAGAGGCAGAGAAAAGTTTAGCATAGGAAATGAGTATAGAAGTAGTTATAAGGATAGGCTTAATTGTTAATATTGTAATGCTAGAAGTATAAGAAATAAGATAGATGACTTTAGAGCACTGGTAGGAATGGAGGATCTTGATATGATGGGAATAAATAAAACATTGTTAAATGTAGATGATTTTGATGATAAAAATTTGTTTGAAATACAGGGTTACATGCTATTTAATAGAGATAGAGTATTAAAGAGGGGAGGAGTAGCAGCTTTACATGTAAAATACGAGGAACATCCTGTTGATGTTGAAGATATCAAAGATAATAGCAAGGATATTGAATCCATTTGGGTTTCTGTTAGTGGATATAAAGGGAAAAGGCTTTTAGTGGGAATTTGTTACAGACCACCAAATGATACTGATGAAATTAGTGAGAAACTTTACAATGAGATTAAGATTTCAGCTATGTTAATGAAGTTATAATTATGGTATAAGTATAAGTTATAAGTATAGATACGAAAATTCTAGTCAAACCATGAAGAAAAAAAGTTTTTTGGAAATCTTTTAGGATTACTTTCTTCACCAATTAGTTAAGGAACCTACTAGAAACAGTGCCATTTTAGATTTATTGTTAACTTCAAATATAGAAATGATCGAGGGGGTGGAAACTGGGGAACATCTGGGTGCAAGTGATCATTGCTCTATTAGATTTTGAAGGGATGCAACAAGAATTATCTGTTGTGAATTGGGCAGCTGAGTTACGTGGAGATACTGATCAGATGTGGAAAATTTTTAAACATTAAAGGTAAACATATTCCTTATAGAGAGAAAAGGGTAGCTAAAAGTAAAAAAACCAGGTTGGCTTACAAAGAGTATATGAGATAAATTTAAAGAAAAGCATCATAAATTTAAGAAATTTAAATTGACTGTATGACATGATACTTAGAAGATTAAGAAAGTTGGTGAAACAGGAAATTAGGACATCAAAAAGGATGTACGAGAAAAGTTTAGCTGAAAATGTAAAAATTAACAGTAAAAATTTCTTTAAATACATTAAGGGTAAACAAAATGTTAGGATAGGGGTAGAACACTTGAGGGATGATAAAAGGAGGATAGTATCTGATGATTATGAGATGGCTGGATTATATTTTGCTTTT